AGCCAGCAACGCAAAATCCCCAGCGTTGCGTGCGTACGCAATACGCTAGCCCTTTTATTGCGTTCTGCGCATGCGCACTCACGACCCGCAATTTCCTTGCGTACGCAAAGCTATAGCGTACGGTCCGCTAAAACTGTAATATGTCGACTGCTACGCTGAACACCCTTTGAGCTGAGGCACTGGATGGGAGTGGCATGGGGGTTTTACGTGCCAAACCTACGACGGGCATCTGGAGGGAGTGGCATATTGTGCCTCACAAATGTTTTATGATCTTAGTTTCCGTACATTTTTCATAAAAGCAATAGAAGTGCTATTTACCTCGAAGATAGAGCAAAGCTTCGTCGTTGCAGCCGTTGCTTGATATTCGAGAGTTTTAGTAGATCGTTTCGATACCTCCGATGCCCCGGATAACGATATGATGAATGCGCAAAGGGGCGGCGGAGTATCGAGCATCGTTTTTGGAGTCACTGGGACGATCTACTAAAATTCTCCATTGTCGAAATCGCGAAGCTGTAGAAGTCATCATACATCTATCCAATACTGGAATAAGAATTGATATACGTCAATATATTGCCAGAAAATAGCAAAACGTACTTGACCCAGTAAGGTGATAATTAAATAATAAATAAGGTTTGGTTCCATACTCTTCTTTGATTCTGAACAGGTCGAGCCTCGGTTGAGACGTTGGTGAATAAAAAAAAAATGTTTCTAGTATATAAATATAAGTAAAAAAAAAAAGACATGTATAACAACATTTAATTAGAACGTTGGTTAAAACAAGGAAATGTAAACGCACGTTTGTCATGTGTATCTTTCTTGGTGCCGTTCAAAAACGCACGGAGCACGAACCGACTGCAGTTTTCTCCGGTGTTCTCCAGATGGCCAGACGTCCGCTGATGCCACAAGCAGCGAAGGGTAGAGTACTAAGTAAGCCGCGCTATGGCCGCACTCACGAATTTCACTCTCCTCTCAAGCCCAGAATATCAAGTCTACGTCAACCAGCATCATGTATTATTTTTGAAGATATCTGCTTGA